GCATGCATAGAATCATCCGTCCACATGGTACCATCCACACCCACCATACACAAATCTACTTTGCTGAGACCACTGTCTGGATTTCTATCAACAATTCCAATACCGGACATCTGCGATAAAATTAAAAAAAACATAGCAGATTTAAGCTTAATTTGTGTCGAATAGAATGAGTGTTTTCAATAATGTTTGCTCACAATAAAAATGACAGTAGCTACAACTATTTCTTTATTATCAATTATTAGCTCAATATTATCAATTTGTATCAGCCTTTGCCGAAATGTGGACACTGAAAGCAAACATATGATATATACCAACGTACATAAAATCACTTGCAAGTGGGAAAATATGGCAACTGGGTTGCGTCCAGGTCTGCAGAGGGCGCCAACTATTAAAAATCTAGTTTTGTCAATCAAACCTCCAGGATTATAGCACAAGATGACAAATTACCGGAGACCCTGGGCGAAATCATGTCAAATATTTAAGGCTAAGACTCTCACTGACAATTCATTGTGTCACTTCCTATAATAGTGTGCATCGTTTATATTCATTCATCAATGGTATGTGTTCTTTGTTAATGCAGAAATTAGAATTAAAAAAAAAAAATGCACAATGTTGTGATAGGGCAAAATTTTAGAAGGCAAAAAAATAATTTTGTTTTTTTGAATGTTAGAAACGAGGCATACAATGGTTTTAAATCTCATTCTAGATCAATACTATAAATATTACAGACTAATTCACACATGGCACTAATACACTTCGCAATACTCCACCACCACTCAAAAAAAATTTTGTTATTATAAACAAACTATATACATTTGTATATACTGAGAACAATAAACTTGCATTTATTACATACTAAGTCATTAAAATTCAACTCAGTTTTCCCATACAAGCATGGGGCAAACTATGAAATGTTACAACACCAAGAAATTTACAACATACCAGGTCAGTTTTACCAGTAAACAAAGCAGCTGAAATACTTTCAATGTAAAAATTGAATATTAGCTTGGTCCACACTGCTTTAGATTTTGGTGTTATTTCAATGATAGTTGTTCCTTTAGTTGAGCCTGAAAAGAAAAAAAAACATTAAATAAAACTGAGAGCATTCCAGAATTTCTTAAAATGCGATTCTGAAAATTTTAATTAAGCTTATGCTTATTTACGTTATGCGTGAAATCAGGATAAACAAAGGTCATAGCATTGCAGTGATGTCATCATGTGGGATTTGACAAATGCCACGCTTAATAAAATACCTTACTTAATAAAGTACCATACACAATTTTGATGAAGTAAAGGTATCTCTATGCAACATTCCATCTCAAAAATCGGCACTTTGATTTTTGCAGTAGAGGTGAGATCTTGTAGTGAATGGAAAATAACCTATTCAAATATGACAAATTCCCATTTATTTCCATTCAAATAGGCAATCAATTGTTAAAGAAGCTGAAAAAAAGACCTTTGATGTGAATGGTCACCGAGATCTCATTTAAAGTGAGAGAATTACAGAACTTGTTTTTGACATTTAAATAATGTTTCGACATCTCCCATCCACTGTATTAAATACGTATATTGTTACATAGATCAGTGGAGCAGTGAAAGTGTTGACGAGAAAGGATAGAATAGTATTTGATGGATAAAAACAAGTCTTGTAGCTCTCTCTCTCTCTCTCAATAAGATCATTGGTGTCCAAGGTATGTTTTGCAAACACAGATGAAAGGAGAGACCTGGACAAAAACTGCAGTTAACATTTTTATACTGTGGAGTATTTTATATTCATTTGGAATTTTTCTGTAGAAGGTGAAAAATCAGTAAAACTACATTCCATATGTCAACCAATTATATTTCGGACGGGCGAATTTACGGCAGACCATATAGAAAGTATTATTATGAACATCTCTAGCATATTGCCAAAGTTTTATACTGTTTGTAGTTTGCATATGAAAGTGGATGCCCCTCCTATTATTCGACGTCGTTGACAATGCAATAACAATGCCACTCGCACTGTGCACATTTTACCCCTAGATCTAGTGCCATTTTAGCGCTAGATCTAGTGCCATTTTAGCGCTAGAACTCGTGCCTTTTTAGCGCTAGATCTAGTACATTTTCGGATTAGTGCTACTAGCACTAACCACTCGCACTACGCTCATTTCGACACATTTACATACATGAAATACTGGATGAAATCCAATGATTTATAATATTTTCCAATATTATTCAGTACATTTGTATGTAAAATCCTGTGTTTTTTAAGTACGATTTTCAGAAAAAAATAAATAAATTGCAGCAAAAAGTCACCCACAGTACATATTCTTTAAATTTAGAATCTTTCTTTAGTTGGTAAATACTCATTATTGGAGAAAAGATAGAAGCAGCAAACACACCTCTTCTCTTTTTCTCATCAGTTGGTTTGACTGTTGGCTCAGTAGGTGCCTTCTTTGGTTTCTCTTTCTGACCTTCTTGAAGATTCTCATCCAATGTTGCCATCACCATGGTGAAGTCATCCTGTCCTAAAGCGACCTTGGAAGATTGGAAGAAGATCACTTGATTAATGCACGTTTTGGCGGACCTGGTGAATTGGATGCCTAAGCTGAACCATTTTTTTCCTATTCATATTGGCTATTTGATGAGGCTTTAAGTCGATGATGTACACATGAAATCAACCTGTCTAATATAAATAATGAAGTTTGGCAAACATCATAGAACAAGGTGCCAAGATAACATCCCCTCTTGAGACAATAAGTTAGACGAAGAACACAAAGGCTATATCATATAGGCAGCGGTTTGACAGGTTAATTGTCAATGGTAATAACTATGATGCACAAATTCTTAGCCATTTAAGATTCCATTTATTGACTTCATACCTTCATAGCGGGTATTTTCCCACCAATGTCTATATCTGGTATTTGATGGTACCAGGATGCAGCTAAATTTCGTTTAATTTCAATAATGATATCAACTGGTTCCAATATACTGACTTCCGACTTGATCCGATTTTCTTCCATTCTGACTCTACAAAAATAATAATAATAATAATAATAATAATAATAATAATAACAATAATAATAATAATAATGATGATCAATTTATTAATTTGAGTAGCACTGAAACTGAAAGTAAGAAATTTGAATTCTAAGCTAGTTAACGCAATAGCTCACCTGCCTAACTTGACACTGCTGAGTTTTACTATCATTGTGTCTACAATAGGTGGAATGTACTTATCAGTGTTCTCACCCGCAATACTAAAACTATTACTGACTGTCAGCACGCCAAGATCAGCAATGATGGCATTCAATGACAGCGAATTCTGTGGTATGATAATCAGCGGTGCCTGAATGGTTATGTCGAGTACAACTCTAGCGCTTCGTTCGTGTAAGTTCTGCACTTTGGCAGCAGCAGTACTTGCTGCAGACGCACTGGCATCTTTGACTGCATCTTTCGCCGCTTGGAAATGATCGATAAAATCCTGTAAAATGTAACATTGAATTTAAGGCTAGAAATTTTGTAATTTTAAACAATCACTCATGGCATTAACCTTCCCTTCCTATCACCCGACTTTCTCAACCCAAATTTGTCTGCACTTTTTTCTCATATTCTTCAATATTTCTGGAAATGAACGCTAATTTTGGAGCCAACAGACAAAATTTGAGTCAATTTTCAGTTTTTTACTCAAAACATTTGCCTATTTTGGTGATAATCTTCTGAAGGAAAAGGCAGACTATAAACATAAATTAAATTTGTGATGAAAAAAGGGAGCTGGTGGTGAAAAGGAACTTTTTTTTAATGCAACTTTGATTGATCTGCAGAAAAACTCTCAAAGTCCACTGTAAGAATCTAAAGACCTTGGGTTTAGTACAGATCATGAGAAATTCAACAGAATAATGAAATCAAATTCAGAAGACGTCCTATAATATGTAAATGTAAATGTGTTTGATTTGGTGATAAAACACCACTGCCTTCAGTGCAAGCTAGCTTCAGTGCTATGATATTTCAGGATTTGTGGTCGTGCCAACAGATTTGTATCATTTCTCATGTTGATCCCAATAATCAGTTAGAGGTGTTCTGCATTTAATACAAAAAGGGAATGCAATCTAAGAAAAAAAAAATTAGAGGAGCATTGTTCAACTTTTTTGAAGTATTTCAACCAAAGACTAGTATTGTCACCCTATGGCATAGTCAGTCAAATAACCTGTGGCTATGATGTCTCCATGACAACAAGAGAGAATAGAACACTATCTGAAGGGAACTCTCTATGAGATCTACAAGGCCTTTTGCATTAAAGTCTATTGCGAAAAAAATAAGGGTAAACCAAATCAATGTCATGCAGTTGCATTCAACTCTTGGTGCATATGTCATACATTTATGACACCCCCATCCCACTCACCCTGCCCCATAGTTCTGTGGTTCTGAAAACATTTCCTTACAAATGTATATATGTAGACATTTTTTTTTTTTTTTTTTTTTTTAAGAGAGAAATTGATTAGATCTCAGATTGGCTGCCTTTATATAAATCAAAGATTTTCAAACACAATGTGCAGTAGTTTAAATAAAGTCACATGACTGTCTCATTACTTCAGATCTCAAGTTGAGCAAACATCAGGCATCTATGAATATTGTTATCAGAACTCTACACATTTCGAAAATATTACTGCATGAAAATGAATAATAAACAAAAAATGTATTTACCAGTATTTCCATGACAAATTTATTGAGGAACACAATGTCAATTCTCCCTAAGTTGAGTTCTATTTCCGTATCCACAGAGCTCATATCAGAGTACCATTCTCCAACGGTGGCGCTGTTATGAGCTACAATATTCAGATGAAATACTTCAGCGTCTTTGATGGAGAGAATCTGATAAGATAAACAAAGTTGATTGATTCAACAACTATTTAATAAGTAGGTCATACCTCTGGCTCATTATCATACAATATTTTATTTTATTTTGAGTTTGAAGCAAATTAGATAGATAGACCCGGCATTATATAATAATGGCTGAATATGAGAATTTTGCACCCAATGTTCAAATGGCCAAATGTTCTTCTCGTGCAAGAGCACAAACCTCTATTTCCCGGCTGCTATAATTGTATTACAATGTCTCTCAGATAAATACATGAAATTTAGTCTTCAAAGCAAGCCCTAACATCACTGGTGAACAAAATCTTGAACAAGAATTCTATACAAACATTATATACATGCTTCATTGGGCTGCAAAATACCCAGAATTCTCCTATTCTGGAACCATGTACATATCAGAATCTGCCTGAAAATGAAGGCATGTAGTGAAGGGTGGATCTTTTTAAATATAGAGACAGTACCTTGGGGTAAGCAGCATTAGGCATTGGATCATGTATAGCGATATCCTTCAAGGAAGCCTCTATTCTTGTCTGATGTCTCTGCACCATAACCCCAGCTTTCAAACCTGGATATAACCAGCAGTTGAATTTACAAATTATACACAGACAGCAAATTCCTCAACCTTTTTCACTACTGGTAAACATTGTTCCTGTCACAGTTGTACTCAGAACCCCCCCCCCCCATCCCTACATTAAATTGGAAAAAATTCCCTTAGAGGAATTCTCAGCATGCCTGAGAGACATTGTTGATCTTTTCTACACCACCTATTGACTTTAGGTGCATGATGAAACAGTAATGTTTTCTAGGCAATCTTTTCTGGATTTTTTAAAATTCCAATTTTGGACCAAACATTGTCATTTTGTCACAGCACAATGTCGTACGGCCCCCTCCCCCGTACTCTGTTAAGTGATCAATAATCAAATTACCATAGCAATTGTCATCATAAGTAATTAATATGTTGTATTTCTATGCAGAATAACCACTTCTCTGAAAATGTCTTCCAAGGAAAACAATGATCAGAATGATAGGCAGATCAGGAAGCCAATTTACCAATTTAAAGGTTTTTCAATCCATCAGAAATTCACTAATTCTGGAAATAAAGACTTCTGAATGTAGTTTCTAAAGATGTCTGAAAATAGTTTATCTGGACCAAATATGGGAAAATCGTTTTTTCTTATACTGAATGTCTGGTCATAACTTGAATGAATGCATTCTAATTTACATTGATACAAATGTACAATCAAACCATCCAGATTTTAAATACATTTAAAGGTGGTGGTGGTTGTTATGTAGCATCCTGTTCGATATGGGACTCATCGCACCATGTACAACAAGCATAACCACACTGTTTGTTTACAGGAAATTCAAACACGCAGGATGTTGTAAACATTATATAGTAGGAAACGAAGCTAAAAATACCAAGAATAGACGAGCCTACTTAACTATGACTATGAACTTGACTCACCGTTAACCTTGGCTGTTGCGACTATTCCAGCGTCACTGCATATAACTAAAGACACTGTGTCTAAATCAGCCATGACTTTGACATCTATCTCTGACCTTGGTTCTGGACGTGTGTAACGCTGACCTATTAAAAATCAGAAGAAAAAAAATCATGATTATGTGATTTAATGACTGATTTATATTATGGCTAAATTTTGTAGACTCCATCACTGTGCATTTTACGAACATAACAATGTTTTTTTTTTATTTTATTTTATTTATTTGAACATTACCCTAGGGCAATAGTTGTCATGATTGTGTTTTCAATGTTGTGGTTCCAAACTCCACATACATGTAACAAGATAAGTCTTTCTTCTTTTGCATTACATAGTCCCTGTAAGTTCTTAAGTTTAAGAAATATGAAAAGTTTGAACACAAATATGGCTTCAAAACTGCACATAATAAAACAAAAAGGCTACCAGTTGGTCTGATTTGACAAATAAAGTGAGTGCATTAAGGTAGAAGTCTACCCATAAATTAAAAAACCCAGAATTTATTCATTTTGCAATAAATTATACTCCAATTGCAAGGCAATATAAGGATATTGACCTTGAAAAAGTTGTAGGTTACCAGCTTTTTTTTCGAGAAATTGATGGCTGTACTTTAGTGGAAATTCACCATTTTGATACTATTATAACACTTTTTTCACAGGTTCCTATGGCAATTATGCAATATCTCAAAATCTAACATGGTGACATAGGCTGAAAAAAATCACATATTATTAATGATAGAGTACTTTTTGTTGTTCAGAATTATTTATAAATATCTGGGTTTTAAAATATGTCAACAAATGCAATTTTTTCTTTAACATTGTGTTATATGGAATTGTTCTAAAAATAGCAAATATTAGAAATATTAGGACACGTTTCTCAAAAAGCATACCTGTAACACACAAAATAATGTTATTTCATTGTACCATGAGATATGATTGTACATAATAAACTAATGAACATTGTCATGCGATTTATGACTAATTTTTCTATAGAAAGATAACATGAAGTTCAATGTACATACTGGTACATAATTTGTACAAAATCTGTCTATGCATGACCGAAATTCAAAATGGCAGAAATGCTCGATTGTGATGAATTTTTAACATTAAAACAACCGCCATTCGCCCATCTTGAATTAAATTGTCAAATGAATAAACATGCATATGTGCAACATGATGTATATCTAAGTCAGATATACTTGTTTAAATATTAGAAATTTGTTAAAACAAAATGACCACCAGGCAACCATTTTAAATCATCATAAATTTAAGTCCATCATAAATTATAATTTTTATATTTTCACTGAAATTAACTTTGTTATGAAGCAAAATGACAAATTTCCACTTCAGTAATCCTTTGAGTGATGAATATTTTTTTCAGCCCAAAATTCAGAGCAAATATTTTCACATTTTGTAAAATGCTCAGTAAATTTTATCACCATTTTGGAGCATAAGTTTCCAACATTGTTTGTCAATTTCAATCACCATCTCATGTGAGCAGAAGCAGACTATACAAAATCATTTAGTAGATGGTGCCAAGAGTTGTCAATAGCACTCAAAAGGTCAATGAACTTAATGCTATTAATAGATATCAAACAGACAAGAGAAGTTAGGTTGGAGAAGCATTTGATTTTATATGGCATAACGTGACTTACGTTTTTGTTTTTTTTCATCATCGCTTATGTAACCCTCATCATCCACAACATCTGGTTCTTTGCTGACTTCGTCACTTTTCGGCACTACAGTATCTACAAAATCTAGCAGTCCCAAGATGGCCGATAAATGAGCTACGACTTCGAGCGCTGTAAATGAGACTATTATACTTTGTTCTGTTTTCTCGTATGTCGTATAAAATTCTGGGCTCTTTTTATCCGCCTGAAAAAAAAGAGACAAGCTGTTCACTTTAGTAGTGCACATTTACACATGTAATCTTACTCTACCACTCATACCACTGTTGCAGTTGTTCACAACAGTGTAGTTGCAGTTTCCTCTGCAGTTAACAATAACATCTGTTAGTTATCAAACTTATGATATATAGATTTGTTTATAGTAATATAGTTGGAACATAAACATGTTAGAGATATGGATCCAGAAGCAGATGCTTGATTATAATGATATTTAACATTAAAATGAATGACATTCAGTCATCTTGTATGTGATCATCTAATGTCCATATTGAGAGATACATTGCATTGCTCTGGAACAGCATTAATTAGAACAAAATGATCACAACTCAGGCATTTTGAATACATCAGTATATCTATGACATGATCTAAAAACACTTTCATTAAAACACAAGTCATTGAAAATGACACAGTACCCATTAAATTTTTCAAAGTTCTCTTTGTGCTCGCCATATTAAAGCGGACGGGTTGTCGCGAGCGTGTCCTTGAAACTTGAGTTCCAAGTGGCGTAAACAACAGATTGTTTATTTACATCAAAACACATGTTCCATGTAGTAGTAATATGGCCAAAAATAAAACAGCTGTGCCAAATACGAATGAAAATGGTACATAAATTGTGGAAATATAGTAGTAAGGCCAAAAAGTCAGATGGCTGTCAATCGGCCATCCATGACCAGATTTTGAAACAAATTGTCATGGACATGCATCCTAACATGTATAAAGTACATGTATGTGCCAAATTTGAATGAAAACTGACAGAGCACGTCCAAGTTACCGCATAAAAAAAACAAAAAAACACGATGCCTGCCAGTCGAAATAAATCGTCATGGACATGTATCCTAACATGTATAATCTATGTACAAAGTTTGAATGAAAACTGACAAAGCATGTCCAAAATACAACATTTTCAAAAAACAAGATGGCTGCCAGTCGGCCATTTTGAATCAAATCGCTAAACCACTGAATGTGCATATGTCCCACATAAGGTACTAGGCACATGCAAAGAATGAACGGAATCGGTCAACAGGATTCTGAAATATGACTCTCGACAGACTGACGCACGAACGAACGGACACACGAACAGATGGACAGACTCAGGAACTCACGGATGGTCGAGGACATGTATCCTAACATGTATGATCTATGTACTAAATTTGAATGAAAACTGACAAAGCATGTCCAAAATACAACATTTTCAAAAAACAAGATGGCAGCCAGTCGACCATCTTTGATCCAATTGTGAAATAAATCGTCATGGACATGTATTCTAACATGTATAATCTATGTACCAAGTTTGAATGAAAACTGACAAAGCATGTCCAAAATACAACATTTTCAAAAAACAAGATGGCTGCCAGTCGGCCATTTTGAATCGAATCGCTAAACCACTGCATGTACATATGTCCCACATAAAGCACTAGGCACATGCAAAGAATGAACAGAATCGGTCCAAGGAATTTTGAGATATGACTCCGGACGGACGCACGGACGGAGAGCGAATTATAAGTCCCCGTTTTCGGACTTCGTACGAACGGGGACTAAAAATAGCCGCCAGTTGTCCATTTTGAATCCCATCTGAAAAACAAAATGACGTGCAACCATAACCCATAATGTCCAAGTTTGAACAAAAACCATCCATAAGCGACCAAAATCTAGTTCCAGAATGCCAGAAATGCTTGATTTTTGATGATTTTTTAGCACAAAAATGGCTACCATTCGACCATTTTGAATCTTATCGTCAAAGCAATACATCTGTATATCTATGACATGATGTAAAATGAATAATTAAAATTTTAACATAATAAGTAAAAGCATGTCAGAGATATGGCAGATTCACTATTTCAAAACAAAACGATGTGCATCAAGGACCCATAATGTCCAATGTATGTACCAAGTTTGAACAAAATCCATCAGTAAACAGCCGAGAAATGCTTCATTTTGATGATTTTTCAGTACAAAAATGGTCACCATTTGGCCATCGTGAATCCGATCATGAAAGAATTGGATGTGCATATGTAAAATATTATGTATGTGTGAAGTTTGAATGTAATCGCTCCTGGCATGTCTAAAATATAGGTCCAGATGCAGGTACACACAGACTCATACACAGAGGTCAATCCATAGTCCTCGTTTTCAGACTGCATCCGAACAGTGACTAAAAATAAAATTGACTTAATTACAGAATGCGCAAGAGTGCATGAAACATCAAATGAGGACAGTGTGCGGAGAGAGTAAACGTCAATTTCAATATTCAGCAATGTTGCTTTCTTGTGACGTTTCCTGAATAATTAATCTGAAACATAATGATTTATTTTTAAAACAAACTCTAAATAAATGAAAAATTTGAGTTCTACCTTTTTATAGTGTACAGATAATAAATTATCTTCTTGTTTGAAACTTGTTGGCGTACTAACAAGATAGAGCGGTCCAGCACCACCAGGAGCTAAATGGATAAAAATAAACATAGTAAAACTATTAACGCCTTTCTCATTAGATGAACATTTCTCCAAGCATGCCTTAGATAGCAGAAGAACAGGTCGAACATTTTGAAGAAGAGAGCAAAGTTTTGAAATTCGATGATCGCTAGTGTTAAATGCTATGTTATGTTTAAAGAGGGAATGACACTCAAAAAAAAAGTTCACCTTTAGAACATAATCTTCAACACTTTCAGAAGGCAAACAAATTTGAAACACACAATCAAATGGGCAGTCGCAATGAGACGACAATGACATACAGACACTATTACCTGTAAAGTGTTTATGTTCGACAGTTATACTGCCCACGAAAGCAGCCACATTAATATCAAACGTCCTGATTGTTACTTCAGTGCCAAGATTCTGTACCGCTATACCAATCAATGGAATTTCTTTATTGTCTTTAAAACGTGACACATTCAACGCGACCTTAAGAGAGGAAAAAAAAAATATCAGTACAGAGACAAATTCACTTTGTGCTTCCACTACCATAAGAGTCAAAATAGTGCGGCAATATGTATACACATGTACCCATGATGCACTAGAGCGATGATCGCTATTGCACGTCATGTTAGATATGCAATGAATACAATGTCCAAACTTAATATTACATGATATCTAAATATATGTTGCAATCATCGCCAGTTAAATTTACACTTTTCTTGTGACAACTTTTAGGAAATATATTTGTATTGATCGGAATGTTAATGATTGCCATGGTAACCAGTTTTTTAGGATGTCAGGAATGTGACGGTAAATGGTAGTGGAAGCATCAGCAATATTATGAGCGTAGATGATAAGAGAGAAATTACCAGAAATATTTTAATTTTTATTTTAATTTTTAGCATGATTTAAGAATTTATTTGTTCTCACCCACACATTATTCCAGTTATAACTAATATATATTCAAAGATATTGTTTTTGCATCCAAAAAAATACATACAAATTATTTAATAATAATTATTTTCACAAAATAAATCTGCTAAATTTTTTTTTATATTTTTTCAAAACTTTTGATCAAGATGAGTAGACATTGGGAAATTATATTTATTTGATCCAAAATTAACAAAGAAATTATCAAAAAATACCAAAAATTGACAAAATGTTGTACTGTAAATTATAATATTCAATGTCAATCACTATGTTCAACTGTCAATGTTGAGGTTACATGTAACAGTACACATAGCAACGATGGTCGTTAGGAATCTTGGATAATGTGTGAGCGATACTGATAGGGTGATTTATATTTCCCAACCCATTATACAACCACAAAAAAATGGGAATGTGTTGTAAATAAAAAAAATTAACAAATGACAATGAATATGCATGCATACATGGATCATACACTGAAGGTGGTAGTTTTTATTGGTATTAGGTCTGTCACGTGGTATGGCCTTGTTTTAATTCTTTAAAATGTACACTGCTGGCCATATTCAACTGCAATTTTCAATAATAAATGTGGGTAACTAGAATGTAGAAGAATTGTACAACTGCACATTTATTTTTGGTTGGGGGGTATACAATACAATAACACTTTATGATAAATAAATAAATAATAAATAAATTACAATCCTTTTGGGCTCTGAGTAATAAAGTTAAATTAATAAACATGAACACAAAATAATTATAATAAAAGTATCAAAAACAAAGAAAGTTACTACATGCTTCTTTTTAAGTTTGCATTATCAATGTATTGGATTAGTGTTTTCAGTAAATGTTTTATCTGATACGTTGATGATTGTCTTGAATTTTTCTGTTTTGTCCATCTCATGTAAATTAGTAAATATTTTGTTAAAGTCATCGTAAAGAGTTTTTCTTTCAGAAGAGTAAGAGTATAGGGGTCTGCATTCATGCTGCAAGTAAATGCGTAATAGGCTCATGCGAATGTGTACTTGTGTTCCATTACCGGACACGCATGAGGTACAGCTATCAAGCATGGCATGATGAAGTGAATTTCAAATCAAATTGAGTTTGCTCTCTCTTATTGCTCATTACACTGGATTTGTTACTCAGTTTGAAAACCACTGTACAAGGTACAATGTACATGTATGCAATAGGATCCCTAAACACACTGTGTACGCTTGTTATTTACACAAATCTGCATGTATGTGAACGTAGCATTTAAGATCCACTTTACAAATTACATACATTACTGTACTGCGCTTCAATTATATACTAGTTTTGTACTAGATTAGCTCAAGTGGAGTAAGTACAACGAACTTTGAGAATCAAATCAAAGCAATCAATTTTTGACTAGTGAGGACAAGAAAACAATAGTGAACACATTTAAAATAAATATAAATTAATTTAATGATGTAATTTAGAGTTAATTTCAGTAAGCATCAACTTCAGAAGGTGTATATTATACCAATACATAACTATCATCAAGACTGGACCCAGACTAAATTTGTATCCCTACATTAAACATATACAGGTAGAGCTATAAACCTCAATGACGTGACACACCTCAACCACACCTCAGTAACAAACAAGGCGACACCCCACCACACCTCTGAATACAATACCGTAATGCCAATCACATTTACCAAATAGGGTAGCCCAACATGCAATGACCAGCCACATCTAAACAAAACTACATACCTCAGTGATGTTCAATTTCAGATACAAAGAAACGAGTTGTGCCCGCATCTCCTGAAATCTTTTCTGAGTTAGCATCTTACGACGACACTTATCATTAAAGTCAATGCCATGCCTAGCAACCATCTCATTCTCATTCTTGCAAGCATCGTAAAACTCATCATCATTATCATCATCATCACTATCGCCATGGTTACCAGATTTGCTACGTACCTCTTTAATTTCAAAGTTTAATTCTAACTGTGTTAGCTGGTCCAACGGCCCCTCCTTGCCAAACTTCTGGATCATGTCTTCTTCGCTCTGTGCCGGTGTAAAGAAATCATCACACACAGTGCTTTCGGTATCACTGTCGGATTCCAGAACAACATCAACGTCTTGATGGCCGGCTATTTTCAGATTAGTTGGAGCGTGGACTTCATATCCAGCTGTAAGCTGCTCAGGAACCTAGAAACAATGCAGTGACTGTTAAAACATTTGCATATTATGTTATGACATTTCAATCTCAATAAACGCTTTTCATAATTCTATAAACAGTTGAATTTTAGCTGCTATGAGTGTTCACGACTTAAAGCTTTAAAGGCGTTTGAATGAACAAATTATGTGAAAATAAATGTTTCAGAATCTTAAGGACCCCGACGAGGAAATTTCGCAATTTTTTATTCATTTAAGAAAATGTTTCCATCTCAGGAAAAACTAATGTTCAATATATATATATATATATATACAGATAAAGATAAAAAAATGCTTTATTCCAATCGTTAATAAGTAAAGTTAATGAAAATACATTAAAATTTCAACAATAGAGGTGCATATTAACTACAAATTGCTTTTAGTATATCCTGGAACAATGCAATATGATTTATTCTAAAAATAGACATGTTACTTGAGCACAATGAGCAAAGAAAATAAATTGCAATGAGAGCATAGGGGAAACAGTGTTCAATTACAAATAATCAACAGAGATATCACACCTATTCATAATGGAAAAAAAAAACATCTGGCTAAAAGTTAAAAAAAAAAAAATTGTATTTTTTATTTTTGCCAGAATATTATGAAAATTCAAATTCAGCTTACATAAAAACTCAAAAATTTTTTTTTTTTAGGACTAGAATGATCAATGTTGAACACAAAACGTTACTATTAAACTGTTTCGACATAAGAGAGGTACTTACTGTCGCAGCCATTTTCTGAGATGCAGAAGGTGATGGGCTGTCACTTTTAGGTAATGGAATACTATCAGCAATTTTAATCAATTCGTGGATCTTCTGATCGGAGATTTGGACGTTTAACTGCGGAAGTTCACCAACTATCCTAACCCTGTAACAAGACTTGCGGTATGAACACAGGATACTCTACAGACATTGGGACTTCTACATTCAGTGATGTAGTTTTGTTTTCAAGTTATGTAGGTGATTCCCAAAATACTGGAAAGCTGTGTGCACATGTAATATACATGGGGAAGAGGTGTAACGGCGTGAAGCTAGGCGATTAGGTGCAGCATGTGAGTGCCGATTCAAGTCATGCATCCAGTACATGTTTACTTCGATTTGACGTAGTATTTACCATGCTGTTAATCAGTGTTATTTGCTTACTTTACTTTCTATGTCAGCAGCAACTATTATTTTAGTTAAATTAGCTAAACCATAATTTTGTTAATTCAAGATATCTCAAATTTCAAAAGAAAGTATATTCTCACAATGGGATTGTTGGTAGTTTAGCTAAATTAAGAGTCTGTTAATTAAATTAAGAGTCTGTTAATTAAATTAAGAGTATGTTAATTAAATTCGCTACTAAAAATAGTATGTAGCTATTTCATCAAAAATTAGTTGCTCTCATCAAGCAGAATTTTGATCAATAACATACTTAATGACATTGTTATTTGTCTATCTATGAAAAATAAAGTACTTATTTCTGTAATGCAATCAAATCACATCAAATTGATACAGAAATGTTTTCTTACAAAATGTTCATGTGAAATACTAGTATTATTTGGTCTTTGGTCAATTTTTATGCTACAATGTAAACTAGCATTGGGTTTATTGCAAGCAGATACTCGCAGAATCATGTTTTGTTATGCGTGTTCATCCTTCATTATTCCTAACCTTTTTACCACCAGACTTTCTCTCCCAAATTTTTCATCACTTTTTTCTTTTATTCTTTAATATTTCTGGAAATGAACATAATTTTGGAGCCAACAGACACAATTTGTGTAAATTTTCAGCTATTTTTGTCCCAATGTTCGGAAGGAAAGTGCAGACTGTAAATGGGAATACCGGTATATTGTGAATTTGTGATGAAAAGAGCGATCTGGTAGTGAAAAGGTTAAAGTGAACAGGCTTAATGCGAGGTGAAAGTATCTTTTTTCCCACATTTTTCTCAGTAGTGTGAATGTAACTAAATTGATTGTTTCACAAACCACTAATCAAACTCAATATACGTGAAATCACTTACTGTGGTACTCGAGTGTCATTGGTCAGCATACATTTATGAAGTTCCACACTCAATTCAGTCGGTTGCAAGACATGTAAGGCCGATTTAGGCTCCAATATGGCTGCCTTCCAATCTTCACCTGCATCGTTGACAAAGAATATGAACAGTTAGAGAAATTTAAAAGTAATCGTATTCAACATAGATTCTATGTGAAGTATATAACCAGAGGTACATTACTTGGGGTTTGCAACGTGCATAGTACTGTATGGTGACATCATGTCAAGATCCCATTCAAGTCTCATCTTGTAGATAGCGAGACTGATGCTACAACCTTCTGACATGAGATAGGCGGTTTGTAATAAAATAATAAAACATGTATTACCACATTCATAGTGAAAAAATGTAATACATCGAAAATGTACAGAAAATATAGTTATCATAATCTGTCATTTTGTGAGCACCTAGACATCCCAGTATCCTAGTTACCTCGAGCATGCGCATTCAAATTTTTCTGAGTTGCAACGCTTATGCGAGAGCGAGACGGGATCTTGGTATCATGTCACCGTAGTTGCAAACCCCAAGTAATGTACCTCTGATAAAACGTATGTTAAATTTGTCATTTGTTTTCACAAAATTTTACGACACGCCGTGTGGCGATTGTGTCGCTTTATGTAACAGCGTTACATGTTTGTGCCGCACAAGTATGTCTGCATTAAATCTGCTTCAAGGTCAAGTCCAAGAATGACTTAAGAAAATAATACATTAAAGTCAAAACTTTGAAATATTACCTGGTTTGGCCAGTATAACCTGCACACTCTGTAGTTTTAAACTGAATTTATCGTATGCTTTATTCAGTAAGTCTTCTATTGGTACACATTGCTGCAGGAATCAAACACAACTTTTAGCAAAAATCAAATAAAAAATCACAATAAAAAATGAATAATGATGACAAAGATACATGAGAAAGAAATTGGTCAAAAAGAATTTCATTCATCAATACGTCTTTGAATTTAGCAAAGAACGATTTTGTAACATTATAAACCGTTATTACTTTCGGGTCAAAGGTCGAAAGAGGACTGGTAACCAATCAGGATTAAGAACGTTAGGAGAAAGTTCTCTCATTAAATAACATTTATTTTAGCTGAAATCACCAAATGAGTTTGATATGAATAATTTATTTTCACTGGGTTGTCATGCACCTAATGCAAACCAGTGTGAGAGAGTGGAGGAGAGTAATTTTCAGCATTTTTTTGTTTTTTGTTTTTTGTTGCTGATTTAGTAAAAATAGCAAAAATAGAAATCTCTCTTTACACAAACTTGATGAATGAACAATTGAAATGGAAAACTGATTTAAGAATATTTAAAGTAAAAGTTATTAAGTTGTATATGAACATTCAATTGTGAGAAAGAAACGAAACCTGTGACATGATTTTACATACATGTATACATCAATAAATGCTGTATATGCAATTCTGAGATAAACTGTGAAAGATTTCCATCATGAGCATAGAATGGGTTTGTTTGTGAAAAAATAAGTGTTGATCTGTATGCAGTTTCATATTTCCCAATGAATTATGGGTAAACAACAGAAATTGTTACATTTCATTAAAGTCCACATACCATGGTTGACTGCTACAAGGAGGAAGAATTAACAAATTATGAAAGGAACAAAGGAAAGAATAAAGAAATCATTGTTACAGAAATTCTAGAGAAAACAATGAAACCATGGTTACAAAAGATGTAAAGAACAATGAAAAAACAATAAAAGACTACATACATTAATACAGGGACAGGAAACTGTGGCAAACATCAATGATGTTGTCCCATGCAATGTGTCTTGGTGTGTCATGTCCCATAATGTAAGTGTTCTATGTTTTTCCCAATCACACATTTTTCTTGTAGTTTATGTAACTAAATTTTTCGAATACACTGTTTGGGTACTGCTATTCGCATACTGTGGCATAGACATGCTTTTGTTTGAAAATCAATGAATAAAAATATTGTCTTATCATTTACTTGCATCAAATCACAAAGTGACTGTCCTGCCAAATGCTGAGACCAAGCCGTTTTGTTACCCTAATTTTGAGATATACTACACTCGTTCAAATTCTACTAGTTTATTTCATACTATTAATGTGTTGTGCAGGCACGTTTTTGTTCTGAAATTTATCTGTAGGAAAATGTGTGCGTGCGTGAACAGTGATGCAACTTGATGTGGATTTGAACGAAATATTGCACGTCGAATGTTCAAAATCTCATTTGAATCCAAAGAGACATTACATCAACGAAAAGACCACAGTTGCATGTCCCTGTATTCCCTAGTGTCTTCAGTCAGACATTCTAGAGAAAACAACAGTAACCATAGTTACAAGAGATGGAGAGAACATTGGATAAACAATAAGAAAACAATGAAAATATTGTCACGGACATTCTGGAGAAAGCAATGGAACTTTGGTTACAAAAGACAACAGAGAAACTATTGATGCGTAAATTGTGGAGATCGATAGAATAAATATTTAGAAAGAATAAAAAGAACAGTGTTTGTAATAAAGGATGGAGATAAAAAGGTGACATGCAGGTGACTATACTTATTGGTCGTACTTCTCTGAGAGCTTTAGCCATAGCAAGCTATCATAATAAGGAGTTAACAGGAACACATAGGAAATAAAATAAAACATTATAAGGTAGGGGGGTTAGTTGTTATATAAGACAGTTAATAACAAGGAATATTATAACGAGGCAATTGGCTGCGCTTTGACACTGGCAGTATACAGCGCCCTCTACCAATATTTATATTGGTAGTCAAAATTGTTGATAGAGGGCGCACTATAAGTGAAGTCCGTACAGTCAGATGTATAAATATTTGAGAAGAAATTCATGAAAATGTTAATAGTTAAAAGTTATTTCATGAATTAAGAAAAACTTTACAAATAATTTGTAAAAGGGTTACAAAAACAATCATATAAAAGAAAAATGCCTTGTTTTTTTACACACATAGGCGATGGGATCTTGCTCCATTAATTGTTGCATCTGATTGGCCGCAGGGTAGGGAAGCAAAAAATAATTGTTTCTAACATGAACAATACCAAAAATTATGCAGGATATTTTTTTTCCTGGTGAAATTTATTTTCAGATAAGAAATACTGATATCAGAAATAATAGCATGCTGAAAATAAATGCAAATATAATTATTAACAATAATATGTGATCAGCCAGTCCTGATTGTAGAGGACGCGACATATTTTGAGAAAGTAAGCGCGTAAAGCGTATATGCACAACTTCAAGTACAATGCGTAGAACAATTCCTTCTGAATAGTGTTACATACACTTTCAAAATATTAGCGTTAATTAAACATGGCAAGCATGCTAAAAAGCAAGCACACAGATTGAAAGCACATAATACGGTGACATATGATTAAAACAACAATTCACAAGAAATAAATACGAGACAATCAGAATATTTGTTAGTCTTCACATAAGTTAATGATCACAGTCGTTGCACTGCGCCATGTTCGATATAGGCTACATGTAACATATACAATATACATGTACGTAATACACATGTATATTGTTTACATGTGTGGGGGAATATGAACATGTGCTATGTGGTGACTATGACCCTTAAACCAAAAATTTGTGTTAATTAAAAAACATTATGTTTACAGGCAAGGGTAAATTACCAAGGGTGCACAACTCCCACTAACACAAAGTGTGGTGATATTGTGAGAGAGTAGTTTTATCCTAACACCAATGTATCTAAACGCATTTTAAGGATGGAGACGTCATAATTTTTACATACAGATTTCCTGAAACTTTGCTAAGTCATTCAACATCTCTAGCAAAAATGAAAAAAATTTAAAAAAAAATTACAATACTCAAACTAGTATCTGAATTATGAACCTCAACTGTATAACCCAATTTGCAATTCAAAATGTTTGCCAGTTATCTAGTCAAATCCAACTTTAACTCAAACTGCGGTCATGGCAGCTGATATTCCACCAATGCATATTACGATTTCAAGTATTTGCTTCCAATATTACAGAAGTTACACATCCCTGAAATTTCAGGCTGATTCAAATTTTAGTTGTACTGAAACACTAATCAATTTATTCAAGCTAAGTGTTCATAGTAAGACCTCTTAGCTTGCTTTTGTTTTTCACTCACCTGTCGTCTCCACTCAGCCAATTTATCTGCTTGTAGGCTTTGCATTTTAAAATCACCCAAGTTGGCAATTATCAGAGATGCAGAACTGATATAAGAGAAAAACACAAGAAGACACAGTTGAGTCAAAGCATATATACAAGGCAGAATTTGATCCAAAAAAAAAAAAAAGGTCAAAGAAATTGGCTGTGCGTGGAAGCTTTCAGTAAACATGGCGTACTTACCAAGTTTACAAGAGCAAACATTGGGTTTATCTTCCCAATTATTGATTAGCTAGTCATTAAAAATTAATTGGAGATGTATTTGGGCAAATGACTCTTTAACCCTATGAATGGCTGATATTATTCTCATAAAAAATTCAAAATAATTTCATATTTTGTATAAAGTTTTGCTCAATTTTATCAACAGTTTAGATATTGCTTTAACTTTTTGATCAAAAAGTTTTGTCAATTTTTGTCCATATATCAAATGGGGAGAACCAGACTGTACAAGATCATTTTGTAGGTGGTACCAAAAGTTGACAATGAAGCTGAGGGGTTAACCACTTCTCCCTACCCGTCTGCCTGAGGACATTCAGGTCTCTGTCGGGGCGGGATGCAAATCATAAGTGTGTTTGCTTATTGAGTTGAATTGTCTAGTTAGACATCAAAATGTTTTCTATAACTATTATTCCATTTGCTGTATTATTTCTGTGCAGCAATAGCTTTGATGTTTAGTTTAGATTATTTGTATTCCTAATATTATATCATATTTGACCTATGACATTATTACTGCGATCAGTGATTGGTTTCGAACCAACCTATCACAACTTGAGTTTTGTGTCATGTGATACTTGAGAACGTTGTGGTTCCGCCGATGTTGATTTTTCCTGTTTCATAGTTCAATAAATGTCAACTTTCCAACTTTGTTAATTATTCCGACTCACAGTATACAGTGGCTATACTCTGAGACATATCACAGCCACAGACTCATTAGCAATTTCCCTCTTTTTCACTGCAAACAGGCAGGTCCATAATAGTTTCTAAATGCTAAATAAATATTTTTTTTTTATTTCGAGCCATATTATGATGACTGTTCCATTACTTTTAAACCTACCTGTCATATATTCCATTCTCTGGTATGATAGCGTAGGAACCTTTGATGTCCACGCTGATATCAGTGACTTTACGAGACTGAATCATATAGTTCATACCAGTAGCACTCTGGTTCCTTATTGTATCCAAAGTAGACATTGCAGCAGCTTGAAGCCTGTAAAACAAGTCATTGAAAATGACACAGTCCTCGTTAAATTTTTGAAAGTTCTCTTTGTGCTCGTCATATTAAAGCAGAGGGGTTGTCGCAATCGTGTCCTTGAAACTTGAATTCCAAGGGGCGTATACAACAGATTGTTTATTTACATCAAAACATGTGTTCCGTGTAGTAGTAATATGGCCAAAAATAAAAACAGTCGTTATTCTGCCATCTTTGATCTGATTATGAAACACACTCATATGTATGATGTATGTGCCAAATACGAATGAAAATGGTACATAAATTGTGGAAATATAGTAGTAAGGCCAAAAAGTCAGATGGCTGTCAATCGGCCATCCTTGATCAGATTTTGAAACAAATTGTCATGGACATGCATCCTAACATGTATAAAGTACATGCATGTGCCAAATTTGAATGAAAACTGACAGAGCACGTCCAAGATACCGCGATAAAAAAAAAAAAGATGCCTGCCAGTCGACCATCTTTGATCCAATTGCGAAATAAATCGTCATGGACATGTATTCTAACATGTATAATCTATGTACCAAGTTTGAATGACAACTGACAAAGCATGTCCAAAATACAACATTTTTAAAAAACAAGATGGCTGCCAGTTGGCCATTTTGAATCGAATCGCTAAACCATTGCATGTGCATATGTCCCACATAAAGTACTAGGCACATGCAAAGAATGAACGGAATCGGTCCAAGGGATTCTGAGATATGACTCCGGACGGCCGCACGGACGCACAGACGGACGGAGACCGAATTATAAGTCCCCATTTTCGGACATCGTCCAAACAGGGACTAATTAAAATTTGGTGCTCTAAGGCTCAAATAAAACACATTAAAATACATGCACACTTGAAGGGTTGTTTTTTCAAAATTTGTGGTGTGAAACATGTACATGTAGGTGCAAGTGGCTTAGTAAAAGTTTACCTCACTTATTTTATGAGCAACTACATGTATCACCTGGTCATATCCTCACATACATGTACCTCCTTCTGAGTTTGTGAAATTACAGTAATTTATATCGTGTATCAGTGTTTTCAACTGGAACAGTGAATTTTCTTTGACTTCACTCACCTTTGAACTGTCCATAGGCCGCTTGCTCCTTAGAAATGGACAGTGTATTATCTGTAAATTGTGGACTGCACCACTCACTGTCAACCTGCTTGGACTTATTGTCATACCAAGTTCAATTTCAGTCTGAAAGTGAATAAAATAAATAAACTGCAGTTGTAGTATGATGAGAAGATGGCTGAGTTCACTGTGGTTGGCTAGGCGGGAAGAAACAAGTCTAAATGCTAGGATCATTGTCACCACAGTTGAAAGAGTGGTGTCAAAACATGGAGGATGTAAAACTGCGGGTATCACATTTAATTCTTGTGACACATCGCAGTAGCCACATCATACAGTGTATTTAAAATCACAGTGTTCAACTTACAGTCTTATGGCAAAAATATTTACTTCTTGTGTCCTTTATTAACATGATGTTTTTATACTTATTTAGGAGGTTATTACGAGAATACCTCAAAGTATGCACGAAGACAACCCAGCTGGAGTATCGACCGATGCACAGCGGAGGTGGATGCGTGGCGTACTGTCTGAGTGCATACTTTGAGGTATTCTCGTATTATTATACATCTTTTCCTTCCAAGAATACATCATGGGAATGCCAAAATCCAACAGAATCAGCAAACTTCATTGTGTGGATTTGGGTCAAACCCTGTTGGCATCCATGTTTGTTTTTAGTATTAGAGGAAGCTTACGCGCGCAATCATTCCATATTTAGAATTTGCATTTTCGTATAGGGTAGGATCAAAATATGACAAAATTACGGCACAACTGTAACTGTATAATAATGTGTTATATTCATAGTGGTCATGTACTACTACCAACATTCAACAGTTATCATGCGATGAGGTGGTCCTTGAAGTTAAGAACTGCGCCTTCTTGCCATAATTTCATTTCTGTCACAAAAATGAGCTTCAATATTGTTTACGAAAACATTTGCTCTACTAGTAGCACATGTAAATTACAGAACGTGTTGTTATGGTCAAAGTATAAAAGTCGTATTTTAATGATTCTGAATCAGTTATATATATCAAATGCAGTATTTGGAGATGTGCATCTAATGGAGTAAATACGGTATTCTAATATACCGTATTTGCAAATGGTGGCCGAGATCTAAATGAGAGTGAAAAAGCCGCCCCACGAAAATTGTTTTGTTCTGCCACCATTGAGTCCACTGTTTACATTGATCAGCGGGGCAGAGAACGTGATGATAATAAATGAGACACTGTTTGAGAAGGGAGGGTTAAAACAAGTTATGTGGCTCTCGCATGTCTCAATGAGATCGCGGGAGGGCAATAATGAATACGGTCTGTGGACGAACGACTACACAACCCAACACAGTTATTGATTTAAACTTTCACTCATCGACGTCTAGATTGCGTTACTAACAGAAAAGGTGAATAGCAAACCAAACAGCGTCCTCTTACCTGCAGTACAAGTGCAGCAGTTTCCAGATCTGTAGCATCAGCGACAAGAACAATCTCAGGGTTTTCAACAGTCAGCTTAATCCTAATAGTTCCGACCGGTGCTTCACTCTTCTCTGCGGTAGCAGGTGATTTTTCAACTTTCTGCACGGCTTTGGACTGCAGCGGGGATTCCTCCTCTGCTTCTTTCTTTGGTAGTCCCTTGGTGAAGAAGTCAGCCACTGTTAACAGATACTCAAGACACAGGCAGACGAACATCTTCTTGACTTTGACAGTGACTGTCGTAGGAAAAACAAGACATGAAAAACTATACCTAGAAATGTAAGGCTGAATGTTTAAATGGAAAATGGTGTGCTATGGAAGTAGCACATGCACTAAAACTACAGAGGCGTGTTTTACTTATATTTAAAATAAATCATATTTCAATGAAATGCAACACAATTTTTTTTGTTTTACGTGGTCTCTCAAATGTTTTTCTAGTAGAGCAAATCCTGAATAAAATTAAACAAGCAGCCTCTCCGCTGAGATAGCTTTGCTGTTTCAATTAAAGAAATGAAGATATCATTTAACAAAATGAACAAATCTGAGAGAGGTCAACATGTAGTACCTATATATATATATATATCAAAGCAATCAGACTCGCGGTTTTCAACAAGAAGTCGAAAATATCACTTTTTATCAAAAATGAAAAAAAATATTCATCGAAATTAAAGAATTAAAGATATCATTATGAAATGAACAAATCTAAGACAGGTCTGCCCAAGGTACATATACACCAAGTATCAAAGCAACAAGAATTGTAGTAAAAAGTTGACACGGAAAACGACGAGGATGCTGATGGACAATAACTCATATGATAAGCTCTGCTCGACTAAGTCAACAGCAGAGCTACAAATGTAACAAGTCAAACAAAATTCATCATGTTGTCTAGTGATTCAACTAATGAGTCAGTCAATTCAAGAACACTGGGTACCATTTCCATTAAACAAAACAAGTCCATGTACTGATGTTAATTACTATCATTTGATATCTAGTGGGATTCTAAAGACTTACTTTCCTTATCCTGAGAAGGAGATTGCTTGAATAGCACATCTATCATGTTGGTTTCATTAGACCTTTCTTTAGCAGTCTGGTATCTATCAAACATTCTGTAAAAAATAAATCAAAGAAAGCTTAGCAAGAACTCCTGTGTGCTAAGAGTATTGGGGAAACATCAAAATTAAATCAAAACTAGCCTTTCAAACAAGAAGCTTGAGTAATTATTATGGATGTATATAAACCCAAAACTAATTAGATCATTGCATTGTCTTAGAGTATTTACGTACTAAGATTCATTGAAATAAGATAATAAGTACTTGAGATATTGATGGAAAAGCTGAAAACTAACTGATTATTATGCAAATCAGGCAATTAATATGAAAAGATTTTAATGTAAGACTAATACAGTCAATGTAATGTCACAGACCATCTTTGTATCAAGTTTCATTGAAATGATTAGAACCAACAAAATTATGAATTATTATGCAAATTAGGTAATTATTATGAACTGATTTTAAGCCAAAACTGAGCAGTTCTGTGCATTGTTCTAGAACATCTATGTACCAAGTTTCATGTGTACCTGTATATGCCTGTGTTTCTGCCAGGTCTGATGTCATCAAGAACAATATTGCCCAGTTCAACATGA